AAACTTTATAAATACTGTGTAATTAAAAATAATTTTTGAAAAATTCTCTCCAAACGCAACCTAAAATGTTGTTTAACAAGAAAGATAATTAGCATGTAATGTCCTTACCTTTCACTATTATTGTGGAAAACGTCAATACTTTTCATTTTTTAGCATTTTCATCCTTAATTATACCTTTGATTTTGCAAAACATAATTTTCATTCAATTTCTCGATAAAAAGTTGTAAAATGACAAATATACCTTCTATTTAAATAAAAGGAAAAGAAAATGAAAAAGAAAGAATTTTTTTAATAATTTATTTGGGACTATGGTTATAATTAGTTCTTTATTTTCCTCTCCTTTCCTTTCCTTTTTGTTTTGCTTAAATAGAAGGGCATATTCTCATTTTACAGCTTTCTATTGAGAAATTGGATAAAAGTGACATTTTAAACAATCAAATGTGTAATTTAAGGGTAAAAATATCAAAAAAAAAAAAAAAATGAATAGTATAAACGCTTTCCATAATAATAATGGAGGGGGTACTTTCTAATTTCCCTAATAAGAATACAACCAGCTATTTCAATCTACATGCCAACTTTGTAATTGTGCTATTATTAAATAACTTTAAAGTGAGTGTGTGTGTGTGTGTGTGAGCGTGAGAGAGAGAGAGAGAGAGAGAGAGAGAGAGAGCTAATAATTGTAAGGGAAGGGAAAATCACAAGTTTATGCTGGGAATAGAGACTGCTGTTTCTGGAATAGCTTTGTGGGGGTGGAATAAGAACTGTAGGAACAGTCGTGGTCTTGTCACAAAATGTACGAACTTTTCTTTCTATATTTTGTGAATCTAAGTCGACGTCTGATCAAATATTTTGACATAGATTTTGTAGGACGACAATTATTGTCCTCAGCATATTTAGATGGAGTTATATCAGTTACTTTATGTTTCCTTTCTTTATTTTCATGTCAAAATCAATTGGTTGGACACTAACACATATTTAAGAGCACTTTGATCGTATATCGTGAGATAATTTTCCAACAACTGGTTGTATTAAGTAGTCGAACTTAATTATCATCACTGTGCACAATCCATAAGCGAATCAGTCTTCGAGGTAAAGTCATCGTGAGGGGCAGGAAGTCCCTTAGATTAAACTTCCATTAAGGGTAATTTAGAAATTTTACATTTAAAATTTCGATTTTATCTTAATTTTCTTATAAATAAGAAGTGGTTATTAGAATTTGTAATCATCGTAAAGAGAGAGTGATTAGAGAAAGTAAAGGGTGCAAATTTTCTCTTTTAAATTTTTTTGCATGTGGTGAATTACTGAAGCAGATGATAAAGATGTAGTCTCACAATGAGACAAACTTTTATAACTCTTGTATGATCTTGTGCGTTTATTTTCTTTTCACGATTTGATTGTTCTCGGTGGTGTGGAGTTAGTGTTCCTAATTCCCAACAAGTTGCTATCATCAACTGAATTTCATATAGCTATCAAATAGATTGTGTCAATTGACGCACGATAAGTCAAGAATTTCTACGATAAGTCAAGAATTTCTAACTTATCTAGCTTATAAGTCGAGATCATGATTGTGTGGAATTTAATCCATACAATTTGTGACCAACTTATTCGATATCAAATTATTATTTTCCAAACATGCTCTATTTTGTAAGTTGACCAAAATTGTGAATATCATTTTTATTTTGTCTTTGAACTGCTGATCCAAATAATCATTAATTTCATCGAGACCATAAGATGGTTAGGTAAGAAGAATATTGCAACATTCACGTGACAACATAAGAATGAGAAAAAGTTGTGGCTGCGTAGAATAATCTAACATGCACAAATCAGATTTTGCATTCATTATCTTTTTTCACCCCTTGTAATGTACCAAGGTAAATGGGAAATAATGAGTAGATTCCACTCTTGTGATGAGTGGATTATATATTCTTCTCGTGTCCAATTTTTGTCTCAATTCTATTTCCATATGCTTTAATATTACCAACCATCTTTTGTATTTTTATGAACTTTTTTGTACTACATACAAATTTTTGTCACTAATGCTGTCCAAAGATAAGCATTTACAATTTCCATATTAGTTGACAATTCTTGTAATAACGGAGAAACTTCGACAACTTATAATCGGAAGAGGGATTTAAGCTCGTGTTTGATCCTAATTTTTTAAAACTCGTTTAGAACTACACATTTTATGAAATCCACTTTCAACTATACATCTCATCAACTTTATCGAAATTTATTAAAAATCTAATTTTTAGTCAAACTAACCAGGAGCTAATATTAGAAAGAAATTTGAGCATTCGAAGGGTGCTTTATTTTATTTGAAGGTGTTGTAAGAGATACTCAAAGATAGAGGATGATGAGGGTATCATTGGAATTGAATTTGTGTTCGATATCTCTAAGACTATACATTTTTACCGATTATTTTTTTCTTGATTGAGCTATATCTTGTTATTTCACTAAGTTGCTGTTCCTTTTTGAGATTTTTTGACAAAATACAAAAAATGTATTCTTTTGGGTAAGGTACGGTCTCCAGACTAATTGTACAGAAAGTAGCTGCCATAGACCTGTAGATTTCAAGTACCATACGGCCGTAACATCTCATTATTTTTTCACTCTCATTGTAAATAAGTTAGGCAACATTTTGATACTTAGCGAAAAAGTAGCAATCATATATTTTTAGATATCTCGGCCCCTTGTAAAATACGTCAAGCAACATTTGATTCTTAGTGAACATATTTATTATTTCTATAACCGAAAAATACACTAAAGCATTTAAAGATTACAAAATGATGCTTGTATAGTATATTATATTATATATAAAATACCGTTATCACTTGAAACTTGTCAATGTAAGAATAATATTGTGACTTTTTATAGGCAAATCCAACTATAATGGACTGATAGGATCAATTTAATCCAACCGTTTAGATTGTTTCTCCAATGGTTCCTAGATTTGTTTTCTAGATATATCTATACAACTATTTACATAAAATATTCGAAAAGAGAAATTTCTGTCCGAAACTGTGGTTTTGCTCTCTAGAAGCTTATGCTGGCATGTTGCATTCTTCGGTGCCTTTCGGCAATCCGATGTACTTTCCTGTGCTTTTGCCTGTCAGCAAAATATGCTTTCTGTCTGATAATCAATTGTCCTGTTTGTACTAAAGGGCATCCACTACCTACAAGGAGGTAGGCTATGGCTGACAAGACTCCGATTTATCCACCTTGAACTATCGAAGATTGTCTTCACATTGCAGCAAGTCTTCAAGTGGCGTTCGATTCGGATACCCTTTTCATTTGATAAAGTATCGTATGCAAAGAGGTATTCTGTGCCTCGAAGAAGTTGAGCTCATGCCCAAGACCATATTTTTCTAAAATCTCAACGAGATATAGATAGGTTGGGCTAACCGCGAAGGAGATGGATGTCTGAGCGATTGAAAGAGTCGGTGTGAAATGGCCACCCCAAAGAGCAAATAGTCCTTTGATTTTCGGGGGAATCGCCATGAAACACTTATCATTTTGAAACATGCAAATGAAGTCCTTCAACCTTTTAAACCCATTACTAATGTTAATGTTGTTGGGGGAAAATCCCACCAGGCGGAGTGGAAATGAAAATTCAAAACAAGGACGAAAGAGAAAAACACAAATTAAATGGCGTTCAACAAAATATCGATTGCCACAGGAGTATAAGACCTTACTAACTCAGAAAACCACAAAATGCAATATTTTTTTTTTTTTTTTTACTTTTCCAACTTCCAATCAAAACTAGAATACCAAATGTACCGTGAAGAAACGTTTACATGGTTTTCTATCCTTGTCTATCTAACAATTTTTCTATAACAACATGATTAAGTACGAGGAACAAAGAACAAACATGCATATTTATGGCTTTTTCTTGTGGATCAAATTGCTTGATGACTTCCTCAGTTCGTTCAACTCCTTTTTTGCCTGTCAGCAAAATATGCTTTCTGTCTGATAATCAATTGTCCTGTTTGTACTAGAGGGCATCCACTACCTACAAGGAGGTAGGCTATGGCTGACAAGACTCCCATTTATCCACCTTGAACAATCGAACATTGTCTTCACATTGCAGCAAGTCTTCTTGCGTCTTCCAAGTGGCGTTCGATTCGGATACCCTTTTCATTTGATAAAGTATTGAATGCAAAGATACCCTTTCCATTTGATAAAGTATTGAATGCAAAGAGGTATTCTGTGCCTCGAAGAAGTTGAGCTCATGCCCAAGACCACATTTTTCTAAAATCTCAACATGGTATAGATAGGATGGGCTAACCGCGAAGGAGATGGATGTCTGAGCGATTGAAAGAGTCGGTATGGAACGGCCACCCCAAAAGAGCAAATAGTCCTTTGATTTTCGTGAGAATCGCCATGAAACAATTATCATTTTGAAACATGCAAATGAAGTCCTTCAATCTTTTAAACCCATTCCTAATGTTAATGTTGTTGGGGGGAAATCCCACCAGGCGGAGTGGAAACGAAAATTCAAAACAAGGACGAAAGAGAAAAACACAAATTAAATGTCGTTCAACAAAATATCGATTGCCTCAGGAGTATAAGACCTTATTAACTCAGAAAACCACACAATGCAAATTTTATTTTTTTTTTTTCACTTTTCCAACTTCCAATCAAAACTAGAATACCAAATGTACCGTGAAGAAACGTTTACATGGTTTTCTATCCTTGTCCATCTAACAATTTTTCTATAACAACATGAATAAGCACTAGGAACAAAGAACAAACATGCATATTTATGGCTTTTTCTTGTGGATCAAATTGCTTGATGACTTCCTCAGTTCGTTCAACTCCTCTTTGCTAAAAATATTAGCATTATTTCGTAGATGAACCATCGAGTTTGATTTCTATAAGTGCTGCTTGTCGGACGAGTTCACCTCGACTTGTAAATTTTACACTTTTGTTATGTTTTGGAGCTTTACGTAAAGCTTTCAACATCTCTTTCTCTAAGCTCGGAATACAATAAAAAAAAATGCTAAAGAAAATGACTCTCATGGTTATACAAATAACTCATAGCGTTTAATGTCCATAGCAGTTCATCAAGCCACAGATTATACAAAATGATGATTGCTGATGCAACTAAATTATGCATATTAGAATCCATATCAAAATGGATAAAACTACATGCAGTGCTAAAACCTATCAATTGATCCACAGAAGCTTCCAACCGATGCCTATTCAACCTAGTTCTGGGAAAAAAGTACTAGCAACATAATTGTCAATTGATTAGAACAGTTTTACCTCACAACTCTTCCGGCTCGACATCTTTTTCCGTTTTAACATTTTGTTCCAAGTATTCCCCTTCAATAGTTTCTTTGAGAATGAAAAGCCGCTGGACCACAACAGGTTGGTTCATTTGCTTTGCTTCCCTAATTTCAGTTTCCTCTTTATTGAGATGATAAGCATCAAGCATGATCTTAATCCACTTGTGCAGTTCCTTTGGAGTTCTGCAATACCAAATAGAGGAAAAAAAAGGCCTCCGGTTAACTCATACGGAGTATTGAAAATAATCATGTAATTATTTGGGAGACAGTACACAATCAGCTTAATTGTAAAGCTCTATTACGTGTATATAGCACTTGGGTCTTTGGCATCATGTTCATCACCCGGGGAGAACGCAGTGGCCAATGCTGAGAATCGCTCCTCGGGATCTGTGATGTTGAGCAAATACTTGAGTAGCTTTATTTCTTTTGGTGCAATACTCCTCATACTAGTCTTTGTGGCCTTGTACAGATGATACATGATGTCTTTGGTCTGCGATGAAAGTTACATAAATTTTATATAGGAAAGGAAATTTGAAAAGAAAAACAAAATTAGATTCATGTGGTCCAGGAGAAGGTACGATGTTTCAGTTTCTCAGTTGTTGAACCTGTTCATTGATAAATTATTGGTGCTAAATGCCAGTGAAGTAACCACATTTCAAACATGTTTGAGAAATTAAATTCTGGAGCTCGAATTTCTATTATTTAAAAACTTGCTTCCATGTCATGTAGGACTATAATTCTATGATTCAAATTCAATTAACATAAAATGTCCCTTTAGGTACTTCATCACATTTTATAGCATTGTAGAGATAACATAGAAAGAAGCAATAAATTCAGGATTTAACTGCATTACAGCAACTTCTTCTGACAATTACATTTTGCTAAAATAACAGGAAACATATATACAGTAACTTGTATAGCAACTTCAAGCAACTGAAAGTAACCTGACTGTTTTTAAACTATACAACAAGTTTTCTTACCGACACACATGAACATTACAGAATTTATCAATCTTCAGATTTTTACGCAAAAATAGAAAACAAACTATCTCAAGGCCTTCTCGTCATCAGACTGTTATGCAAGATATTTTTTATTATTATCACATGCTGGAAACGTTCAAAAGTTGTACTATAGTAAGAGGCATCTCTACCAAATACTTTTCACAAGACAAAGAAATTCAACGCAAGGGGGAATTACTTAATTTAGTGAAAACGCGATTGTGCTGTCAAGTATGAGATTAAGTTCCAATACTAAGATTACTTTCTTAGTGTAAATATGCCAACAGTTTGGTTCATTTTTGGTTCATTAGTATCATTCCCTCTGCACAATTCATATTTACGACTCCAGAAAATGTTGCAACATTTCCTGAATCTCAAAAACCTAAGACAATTTCAAATCCAAAATGCACAAAACGACAAAAGTTTCTTCCCCTGAAATGTTACCATTAAAAACATAACTCATCAGCACTAGGTTTTACATTCCATATGTAGTCATCATCCCACTTCATTTGCATTAACTTATGTTAATTGGAATAATGATTTCTGTGTTATCCAATCAATCATGATAGACAGCTTTACCTCATTTTTCATGGTAGTTGACTCCTTTGCCGATGCCCAAGCACCATTTATCAACAGGATCAAGGATGAGTCAAGTTCTTTTGCCTTGGCAAGACTTTTGATCTTCTCACATGCCACATCTATCGAGGGAGAGTTCAAGATGTCTTCAAACTTTTTCTGGGCAGCATCTAATGAACCCACGATCTCTAGTGTATTATCAAAAGCACTAACTGCTGATAAGCATCGAGCCCCAAGTCGGGCAACCGCTGCTCAACCGAAAATAAACAGCGAAATGACCTTTTTAGATAAAATCAGATAACTGAATCGACAGTAGAAGTAATTGCTAATGAAAAAACGCGCAATTCCATTGTGACAAAGCTAAAATGACAGTATAAATTATGTATATGATAGACAGAAAGATGATAATGCATGGCGCTGTTTAGAGATAGCAGATCAGATAGAACTTTAGCATACTTATCATTAATGTGTTCAGGCAATGGCTACGCTAAAGAATATAATTAAGAGTATGAAAAATTGTCTGATTTAGTTAATTAAAGTTTCCCAAAAGAGCTCTTATTTTTTTGTTCGACATAATGAAACCATCAATTTCATGCATTGAAAGTCGTGTCAGGTCCAGATTGATAGAAATGAAACATTTCCATGAAAACACAAGAAGCTTCATAAGTAATATAAAGCTTTAGTCCTTCAGTGAAGAGCAAAGTAGATACGAGCTACTCATCTATTCGCACGAGTTGGCTGGCAAGGCAACACGTAATTGGTGAGTGAAATGCAATTTTCACTAAAAAAATCAGCGAGCTGTGAGCACAATTGATGAAGCAAATGCGAGCTGCTCGCATGGTGTGCCGAGCCGAGCCCGACGGTGGGGGAGCCTAGCGGCTCAGCTCGGTCCATTAACACACTTGCTAATATGTATGAGCAATCATGTGGAAAGAGTACGAGATTTAGTTACACTGAAATGATTACTAGGGATGCCACAGCTTAACAACAGTCAAAGGTGTTGCTTGAACATCCTATGCTTCTAAGCTGAATGTGTTATGCTGCAGTCCAAATCTCTGTAATCTTTTTTCATGCTTCAAAGATTTGTTTACATAATTGAAAATAAAAATGCAAACTTAGTGAGTTAAAAGTTTGGGTGCTATGTGATACAAATAGCCGAACAAAAGCCTGTTTAAGAATCAACTATGGTCATTCTTCATACAGAAAATCCAAACAAGCTTTTGGCTGAGGCTAAGTACTTTGCTCTCTCCAGAAAATCTTGAGGGTTCTCCCAAATAAATTCAGAGTGTCTTAGAACATTTTATATACATACTCTCAAAGATTTCTACAATAATCAAAACACCTAAAGTTTAGCCACATGACTCCTCCATTCTTATCATGATCAAGTAAGATGTATTGCATTTCATCGGTAAAGGATCGCTAGCACATATACTGATATGGCAATGTCTAACAATCAATCTTAATAAATCAATTGGATGTTAGACCACATAGGAATATAAAATTCAACTTCGCCCACTTGGGATCGATATGACAGCTGGAACAACACATTACCATCTCGATCCTCCAAGCTATCATGGGTTTCCGAGAGCAAAGTAAGATAACGAAAGAATTCCCCGGTGAAGTCCTTGCGCCGCTTTGTTACAATTGCATTTACATCAGTAGGATTATCTTGCAACTCTTTAAGAAGCTCAGTATGCCTTTCCATTTCATCATCAATCTGCAATGCTATTTCTTGATCAAACCAGAATTATGAAATTGCTCCAAAACTTATTAGCCATCAATTCTTATATCTCCATTTCAATTTGAATAACTTATATCTTATCCCAACAGGATTTTTGGTGAAGAGTTGAAAATACATCATATGTGAAGTCACAAGAGGCATTTAATTGAGTCCTAAATTGCTTTTCTAGCTAACAAAGTAGATAAGCTTGTCTCATACAGACACCTGAGATGATGATGATGATGATGATGATGATGATGATGATAATGATGATAATAATAATAATAATAATAATAATAATAATAATAATAATAATAATAATAATAATAATAATAATAATAAACTGCAAACAGTAAAAAATGAAATGATGCACTAGTACCTTTTTAACTTTTCTTGATAAGTCAATTAACTTTTGTTTCATTCCAGAATCATTCTCTGCATTGGCACGGTTTTTACATCGACTGTAAAAGCTTTCGCTGTATTTCTTCCACTCCTCTCTTAAAACCAAAAATCTTTTCCAATCTCTAGACTTTGGTTTCTCATTCAAGAATACATCAATTATTTTATCACAAAACTGCGTCACTGTGTACCCCTCTGCAACTTCAACTTCAACCTCTGCTTGTGCTGCAGTAACACAACTTGCCAAGACCCCTGAATTCATTAAAAAAGGAAAAAGAGTAAAAATAACCCTTTATAATTTTCTATAATCGTAGCAAAAGTAGTATGATAAAATAGATGACATTCGGAAAAATGTATATCTACCGGTTGATTTTTTGAGTCCGAGGGTACGAGAATGATTGGAGGGTAGGATAAGAGGGGAAGGGGATATAACCGGTATTTTAGAAGAAGTTGATGGTAATTCTGTATGGAAAGAAAAAGGTGTTCTGAAGAGGGAGACCTTGGTGCTCATGGTCTTGGCTGGTGTTTCAAACTGTAATCTTGAAATTGCTATGGCAGTTCTGCAGATTTTAGATTTTTATGCTGGATACACAGTATTGGGCTCACAGAGGCCCGCATATGAGAAGCCAAGCCAATTGATTATATGGGCCAGCCTGCAAGAAACCCAACCTTGGCCCATCATTGGTGCTGGCCAACCTAAGCCCATATTTGACAACCATTAAAACAAAATTATTTTTTTTCCGAACTCATTTTCAACTATATATTTTACACATAAATAAATAAATTCCTACTTTTTAATCATACATTCTTCAAAAAATCCCTACTCAAAAACTCATTTTTCCATTTTAATGGCTGTCAAATAGGGGCTAATTTTGCTTTAAAAAAAATTAAATTTTAAGCAAATTTATTATTAAAATTTATGAAATGGTTGATTAAAAATTTGATATAAATTGTGAATCCTCAAAAAATGTGTAATTAAAATTATTTATTGACTATGACTTAATTTTTTATCAATATTTTTAGCTTATAAACAATGGTGTCCAGAATTTTGATTGAAAGGCAGATTAAAAGCATGGAAAGAGAAGTCCACTTTATTAATGTTCTGAATTGATTTTATAACACCATAATACAAAACAATGGCTTTTGGAGAGCTTATATGCACACTTCTCTGATATGGGTACCAGTAGCTTTACTAAATTTGCTCCACTCATAGGATCACGAGTCGACTTTGATCATTATGGACTAGTACCAAAATCGAGTCCTAGACAAGCAGATTCTGCAGCTAATGTTAGTTAGCGAGGGTTCCAAACCAAGATCACCCATATAGAGCCTAAATCTGTTTTTCCTTGCAGGTATAGCCTGAAATTATTTTCCGGTGTAGTACACTTTGATTGTGAAATTAAAGCACCTAAACTCATAGAGAGGCTGCAACTTGCAACAACCCGTTGTGCCGAAGAAGTGGCTCTGGAGAAGGTTCCCGCCCTCGGAATTCAATGAAAACCTGAACCACAATTTCAGCACAATCAGAAGAAATTATTAAATTCAGACAAAGTCCAACAAATGAAATTGGTGAAACTTCATATTGAGGAAGGAAATAGCATCAAGCGGTTCAACCTCAACAGGTGCTTTTCCACCTCCAAGAGCAAGTACAGTTTCTCGGAATCTATGTCCTGTTTCTTTCACGGCCTGTTTCAACTCATCAGTCATTGTTAATAAATGAGAGCCCATTTTGACGAAAGAAAATTCTACTGAATGGTTGTTCTTACAATCTTTTCAAACTGCACTTACCTTGTCATCATCTAATCCAGCATCCTCAAATGCTGAGAAAGCATCAGCAGACAACACCTCTGCCCACTTCATAAATTTGGAAATTATCTACTATTACTGTCTTTCGTCCTATTATAAAGATTCTATAACTTAGATGCAAAAACCAATCAGGCAGCAATTTCTTATAACCAAATACCTTGTAACTGTAGTATCCAGCAGCATATCCACCTGCAAATATATGACTGAAACTGCAAAGGAACTTATCCTCTGGAAGTGGAGGAAGTATTTGCGTTCTTTTACTAACCCTTCTGTCAACATCATAGATAGACTCTGAACCACCTGGCACATACTTGGTGTGCAACTCAAGATCGAGAGATGCCAATTTAATCTGCAGTATACAAGATATGGAATAAGAACTTTTTGTTCCCTCACAAAGCTATAACATCCACATCATAACGTGATACTGAAGGTGACATCAATCGGAGAAGAATACAATAAAGAAATGAAACATAAGAATACACCAATATGAGGGGAAAATATTAACTAAAGCTTACCCCCCATGCCCACCCAAAATAAATAAATAAAAAGAGAGATTATGACCCGCAGACTAACAAGCTTATGGGGCCCTCTCTATCAATAAATTTTTAAATCAAGGAGTTCAACATGGTATCAGAGCTAACAAATGTCCTAAATTCAATTCTCGCATCCACATGTTTAATGAAATTGTACACGTATTGAGCTTTGATAGGAAAAAGTGACCTTCCTACCCATAGAGGTGTGTTGAAGACGAAATTTAAATAATATATATGTGATTCTTTAACGGCTTAAACTTTTAGATGAAATAGTTCAATAATTTGCTTTGCAACAATTCTTTTTCCATTATGAAGTGTATGTCAAGGTCATCTCAATCGTTTTGGAGGAAGAAAAAAATTATCTGGCTAATTGTGTATGAAGATAATGTCAGTTAATAGTAGGAGCGTTATCAATCATTGGCTGTCGAAGATATAGGTATGGGCTTCATTCAAATACTGGATCCACTCCCTCCCCCATCTCCACAACAAAAGCCAAACATTGACGAGAACGAGAACCACAGTACTTGAAAGGCAGGAAACCAAAATATACGTGGAGACTCTTTCTTTCTCATTTTTATCCAGCTGCAGCAAGGTAAAGTTAAAAATCACTTGCTTCTATGTAAATTACATGTTACCCTTCACTAGAAATGAGAAAAAATAATTTTGCAAACAAGGTGCACCTATAATACCAAATATATCAAAACAAGTGTTCTGAAACACTTGCTTTATGAACTTAACCTGACATCCTGCAAGAGAATCTCGATCATATTAAGGGTAAAAATAGAAAGTACAAGCATTGAACAAAAGAGCAGACAAATGCAGCTAGTCAGAATAAAATTAGAGGGTGCAATAGAGGAATATATCACAATACAAAAGACTGCAAGGGAACAAGGGAAAAAGAAGCTGCATGGACCTGACGAAGACTCTGGGAGCCAGCACGGAAGGTCCTAGCAGCAAGAAGCTTTTTGTATATGTCGTCCGGAATACTCTCTCCTGTTTCGTAATGCTTACCAATGCTCATCAATGTATCTCTGAAATAGCAGTCAGTAAATTTGGGTTCAAATGCATCCGTGCACCATCAAGTATCATGCATCATCAATCAACAATTCAACAATCAACTATAGTTTCATGCTACGATATTTTATAAAACTCAAATCCTACTGAAACCTTTTGGAATACAATTTTAATGAGGCTACTTCACGGGATAAAAGTAGAGATTCTGCCGTGCTTACTACAATTTTATTCAAGCATCATCCTCACAAATGTTAAAACAAAGTTATGTGCCTTTCACGAGGGAAAAAAAGAGAAGACCTGCTTTATTCATCAATAGTAAGCACATATAAAGGACACAATGTATTTGGTAGAGCGGTTGACTAATAAATTGAACATCATTTGATGATTTGATGAATGGATACAAATGTCATTGGTTGACATTTGCAAATGATGCATAGATTTGAATAATATGGGTAGATATAAAAGAAATTTCATGGATTCTTAATCAAAGCAAAAGTGAGACTCACTTAGAAAGTGCCACAATAGGCCCATCCTATACAAGAAATATACCTGTATCTATACTATAACAAAGAGACTAGGGAATTTTAGTCGTTTGATTTTCACATTATAATTACCCCTGTCATATTCCTGATTACTCCTATTGCTATATGACAAATTCCTACACAAAATCACAATTCTCATGCATATCGACTTTTATTAGATAAGTACAAGGTAGTTAAACAAATCTTAATAGAAATATAAACAAAAATATAACACAAACAATTATTTATTAACAAATATATTGTAACCTATGATGCTCGGACTTGGGTATGGATATCGGATACGGGTACGTATAAGTGTCTAATCTTTTATTTTCTAAAATGTAGGATACGGGGACATGACTAAAAAGAGTCTAAATTTCAGACACAGGTACGTGGGTATGTCATTTAAACTTCAATTTTTTTACTAATTCAAGATATAATCTTGAATAGTGATATCTTGAATAGTCCAAAATCAATTGTTCACAAAGAAAGAAATTGTACTGAATAAGGGGTTAAGACGAATAAAATAAAATTTTGAGATTTAGTTTTCAATTATGGAAAGTTAATTACTAAATGTTATATAAAATAGAAAAAGAGGGACTTGATTGCAATTTGGATTTAGTGGAGCACAAAGTAGCACTATATTGAACCATTTTCATTTTATACAAACAAAACTTTAAATCACCGATACGGAGAATGAAAGAAGGAAAAAAAGGAAAAGAAAAGGGAAAGAAAAAAGAAAGAAGACAGGAAAATCTAGTGCCGTTACCTTTCTCCATCCTCTTAGAGGTGCTAGGTTTATAGCTAATAGAACGGAAAGATAAGGAAAAGAAAAAACAAAGAAAGAAGCAAAAAATGGCGAAGTGTCCAATTGAAACTTGAAGGATCCGACACATATCTCATACTCATACTCATGTTGTATCGTGTCATGTCCGACACGGGTACTCCGACTATTTTGAAGAGTCCGAGCATCAGAGATCGTAATTATCAATCCATACAACTTAATACAAACATAAAATCAGACAAAGGAAAAAGAAAACTAAAACAAACATTCACAACCTTTAATACGTTATCGCCGATACTTTTGCTTTCTCACCAAATAAGTTTCCTTCAGAAATTAATAAGAAACTCCTCGTTAAATACCTTTCATTAGACAAGAAAAGTCTAATCGAGTAATTGAATAAATGATGACTATTAAATAATAAGTTGTTACGAAACATTGCAAGTCAATTATTTACCAGTGTCAACAGATAATGAAGAACAAAAAATTGTGTGAGCAAATGAGCTCAAAAATATTATTTATCTTTAAATTAAATTAAAAAGTTCAACATCTTATCATAAAAGCATTTTGCCCGTTTACTTTCTTTGTTGAATTATTCAGTTTGTATCTAAATCTTTTCCTTCAAAATGATCTCAGTGTTAAATAAAAAATTTATTACTTGGACAATTTAGAAAATCAATATTATGGGTATATCTCTCTTTCTATGGTCATTAATTAATCATCAAATTAGATTTTGAAGTTTAAAAAATAAATAATTACCATTTATAATCGTCTCAAAGACGCATTTTCTATTATCAAACATCGAGTCATGTTAGAGTTAATGATGGTTAGAATCTGCTAATTATAGCTGTTGAGAATGGCTATATCAGTTAGAAATGGGAGGGATAATTACAGCTAGAATCATAAAGTTTTTTTTGCTATTTTGTCCATTTGTAGAGGGGGTACAGAATCTGGAGTTGTTCTTTCCTTGTAATTCCTTCTATTTATATATACCAATCATTGTAAAATCAACTCATACACAGAAAATATGCAACCTTCTTGATTCTTTGTTTTCCTCTTCATTTAGTAGCAGGGCTCAATGGCTACCTATCCCACTGAATACTCCTCAGATACACTCAACCACAAAGCAGTTCTAATCCACCTCTCGTGTCAGTCATTCAGATTATTAACCCAGGCAACCATGTTTTAAGTACCACTGTTGAATGACGAAAATTTCCTCTCACAGAACCAACAAATTCTTGCTACTCTCTCTTTTTACTAGTTTAGAAAAGGAACAGAAAAAACATTATAATTACTTTAAATTTAAATTCTTTTGTTTTTAGCACATATTGCTTTCTAGAGAACCATTAGGTATTTATGCTTCACATACGCATCATTACTAGTATTACAGGAATATCTGTTACTGTAAGTTCTGGGACCAAAACTTGTGAAAAGATATACGACTTGATAGAGAAAAAAAGGACAGCATCTTTGACTAAGCCTTAAAAGTCAATTATGAGTTTCAAAGTAAATAATCGTTTATTGATAAGAAGATGGAAATAAAATACGTTAATTAAGTTGACAACAAGGTAAGCTATTTTATAAAAAGTAAACTTTTTCAGTCATAAATAAAAAAGAAAAAGAATAAGGTAACATATCCAAACATTGGAAACTTACCTTTATTAAGCTTATCCTCTGTGCTGATGTTTATTTCAAGTATAGACATAAACAGATAAAGGTCAAACAAGGCGAGGAAAGTTTTCAAGCTAACAAATATGAAGAAGGATACTGAGACGAATCTCTCTGAACCTCACAAAATGGGGTTTCTTATTCCCTTCAAATTTCAGAATCTTAAATAATATAAGAAATTACTGGGTACGCCACGTGGCGGGATGGACAAGTGCCCAAATTGTGTCATGGAAGTGTGGAGCATGCCAAAAATTTAAGGTATATATGAAAAATAGGACACACCATGTGAAGTGTTGAACGCATATCTCCGAGTGTCCAACACACTCCACCTTATGAGGAACATCAAGAGAGAGAGAGAAATGACGGAATATAAAGACAGAATAAAATAAGATTTCCTGATTTTCACATAGGAAAAAGGGAAAAACAGAAAAAGAGAAAGTACACCAGCAAGAAATTACCTATGATAGCACCAATTTTCCATGAATTGAGAGGGTAATTCTACAGCATCCCACTCAACGTTTCGTATCCCAGCAACCAAACCCTCATCCTGCTTTGTTAGCATATGTTGAAGTGCATGACCAAATTCATGGAAGACAGTCTCAACCTACAGGTATTACAATCCAATAGTCAAAAGTACAACATACTATAGCAATACCATAAAGAGATCAGAGATATGCAGAAGATCCCAGGTTAGATGAAATCTGGGTATCCATCATGTCTTATTAAAAGATTAACGACGAACTAATGTTTCTTTTTTCCTTATTAATCTCAGTATGACTAAGATAAATATCATTGTAAAGGCACCAACCAAACTTGTACAAGTCCTTTTAAGAATGAAAACAGGGATGTCAGCTGTCAAAATGGAAAATGAACTTCAAAGGGACATGAGACTGGTCAAATTTACAATATTAACAATGCCAAAATAACCGAAAACACCAAACGCTATTAGATCTTCCTACACAAGTATATTCTGAAGATTAATGAAAATTGTCCCATTAAATTCATCACCCGCAGACAACCATTTTACCCAGTAAATGGAACAAATCTCACAGTAAGTCATTTTCTACTATACACATGAGAATTACTAACAAGTAGAGAAGCCTTCAATTACTTCACCTCCCCTTGACACATAAATACCAAACAAAGAGTGCTGACCAAGGTTTGTGTAGGAAAAGGCAAAGGTGCAGGTCTAACCTGTTACCATAGTTCGATTTCCCAGTATAATAAATTTCAGAACCAGAATGTTTGATGCTTGAGCCAAACATACGCTCTTACCTCACGAAATGTCATAAGGCTTGGCTTGTCCCCTACAGGTGGCATTTGGTTGCACACCATGTGGGCAACAGGCAACCTAGGAGAGGAACCATCTTGTGACAAGACACGACTTCGACCAACTACTTCATCCATCCATGCTCCTCCACGTTTTTCAGATGGACGCGAATATGGATCAAAGTAGAAAAAAGCAATTGGGCTGCCTGAAGAATCGTTGACACGGTAAAATCGAACATCGTCATTCCAAACCTACGGATAGTAATGACTGTGTTAGGGGAAAAATTAATAAGCAGGAAATGAGAAAAGGAAATGAATGAAGGATGGAAATTTCTACCGGAGCTAAACCATCAGCAGGCTCAATATTGATTCCAAACAACTTATTTGCAAGACTGAAAAGACCATCCATTACTTTAGGAAATGAAAAGTAAGGACGCAAATCTTCCTGTTGATTTTTTAAAAGCCAACAAAATTAGAACTTACAAAATTAAGAAGAAAAAAAAAGATTGATAAGCCGGAAATAAAATAACAGCTATTATTGCAGGACTGTAAGTGCTAAGGGAAGAGGTTAGAGAAAAAATAATAACTGATAGTACATATCCCAACTCAACAGAAAGAGCGGTGAAAACAGAAAAGATAATATACAACTACAGAAATGAGGAAAGCATATTGCTCGAAAGCATCTAAAGCATGCAATGCAGGGAAAGAAGTCCTCAAAAATCGAAGAACAATACTTGTTAGTATATCCACACCGAAAATGAAAGGAATAAAAAGAGTATTAGGAATAAAAAGAGTATTACCAATGTTTCAGGCTAAGTGTAAATAAGATATAATTACACAAGATGAAGCTGCTAAACTACGTACATTAGCAATTATTAGATCTCAAATAAACAACCAACCAAGCTCCGTTGCAAACTTGAAGTCACATACATAAATCCATTTTTACCACTCAAGTGAATCCATTCGTACATGCTTAGATCTCAGAAGAACTTCCAAAAAAAAGAGAGGGAAACAGAGGAAGAGAGAGAGAAAACCCACCTCATTTATTTCATATTTTGATTCACGAAGCCTCTCACTCCAAAAGCCGATATCCCAATGGCTCAAATTATCAGCTTTTGGAACACCTTGATTTTTTGAGAAGTATTTAAGGTCCTCCATATCTACATAGGTAAAAAAATTAATACTGCTGATTATGATCTTCAATATAAAAGGTTTTCACCTTCACAACATGTTCATAAAAATGCTAACTAAAAAAGAAAGAAGTTAGCACAATAGTGCTAGTTATAATAAATCATTACTTATATTGCCTAATAAACTGTAACCCGGTGAAGAACTTTTTTACTTGAACACAATTGTATATTATTTCCTCATCCAACTGTTCATGACTCGGTCAGGACTACTTGAAAACATATGGTTGAACCATCGAAAGTTTTTAGAACATCCATATAACACTTAACTAGAACACAGAAAAGAAAATACAGGATATCCACTGAAGTTATAAAGTAGGACATGTTGCCAATTCCAACCATAAGATACTAAAAAAATATTACTGTTCAATAAGTAAAAGTATAAAATATCACTCATCTATATATTACTGTTTAAGCCTGAGGTACAATAGTAACAACGGTGTAGCTCTACATTATTTATACATAAATCACGAATTTCCGTAAAATACACTACCTTGAACTGCAGGATTCCATGATGCACTGCGAAGTTTTTCAAGAAGCTCGTCTGCCTTTTCAACAGTAGCCATCTTGGTAGCCATGCTTACCTAATATATAACTTTGTCAAGCAGATCCTGAGAGGCATATTTCGAATATAAAAGCCATACCTCTGCATAGTTATTGTACCCAAGAAGTTTAGCCTTTTCCAGCCTAAGCTTCAGAATTTGGTCAATTATTGCCGTGTTATCAAGATCTCCAGTAGATGCACGGTTTACAAAGGCACGGTATACTTCCTCGCGTAAAGTTCTATTTTTAGCGTGCTGCATTACAGCCATAAAACTTGGGGCATCTAACGTAATCATCCATGGTCCATTCTCCGCAGTAGCATTCTCATGACCCTGTTGATGGTAGTATGAGGAAAAAACTTAAAAGCAGAGCCAGCCAAGCAATATATGCAGCACAAGATAGAGTCAGAATAATAAAATGAGTTTCAACATAGAGTACCTTAGACATTGCAGTTTTTGCAGTCAATCCAAGAGCAGTAGCTGGCAATCCTTCAACATCTTTCTTATCCGTTATTAGTTTTTCAAACCTCTTTGTTGCATCCAAAACATTCTCCCCAAATTTTTTTGATAGTTTTGCCAGTTCCTACAAATAAATTTAAGGAAAGAAAAGATAACCATCCTAAAATAAAAATGAACAGCAATCTGCGAGTAGCTTACCAATGGAGCATGTCTTTTGGCATGTAGAAGATGCATAGCAAGTGTGCCACAGAAATGTATTTTGGCCAAAAAAAAAAAAAAGTAGATTTCATCTAAACAAATGAGATAATCTGTACTACGCCACCCCAAAGTAGGTATGTACGCATGTGTTTATAATGTGTGTGTATAGAGAGAGAAGAAGGGGGGGGGGGGGAATATTGTCAACAAAAGCAGAACCTGTACTATTTTGGATATATAGGATCCGAGCCTTCAGCTAGAAAAATCTTTTCATAAGTCAACAACATCCTTCGCAAAAAAGCCATAGAGGAAGTTTCCTTCTCTCTGATAACTGCCATCTCCCACTTCAAATTCTCTATCTCCCTCTCCATCTCTCTTTCAACCCCCACCCCCACCCCCACCCAAAATCGTGCAGCACAATACAGTGAACTCAACAATAAAGAGAAGAGTGGGATACAAGAGATAAAAAGAGAGATAGAGAAGAGAATAAAAGTAGAAGAATATGACGAATTGGGGAGAAAATTCACAATAACTTTGAATCCAATATCCAGTATTCTACCTCATAATAAAAACCATTCTCCTACTTATTCTTTAAAGGTCTAATAATAAGGGAAAAGCTTCAAGGAGAAACTTCCTAAGTGAAACTAAAAAAAAAAAACAGAGAAGGAAAAAATCATATTAAATGAAGTCTAACAACCTATTTATTTTTCCTCCTAAAATAGGTCTTCAATTTTGAAATGTTGTCCAACTTGACATCACTCCCAGAGGATGACGGTGGAGGTGTGAGGCATAGGTGAGGCTGACGAATTAGGGCTTCGAATGAGAGAGTTTCTAGTAGCAAATCAAAACACTATTAGTAAAATGTAGGTTTCCCATAAAGAGATGCTAATGTTTGAAAGCAAATGTCAGCCTTATCTCATTAATAGATATAAATATATCGTCCCTGTTTCAGATTCATTTAGCAGAGGAAAGGTTGTTACAATACACCACTTCTAATCAAGGTTGTTAAAATTGGGTTAATAAAATAGTTTTGGAGTGATAGGTACAGATCTTAGGATCAGATTGAGAAATCATATGATAAAATTAGACAATAAACTCAGAATAATATACCCTATAGCATGAAAATATTGATAATGAAGTATAAATGCGTCCAGATATCGAAATGTAGAGAGTTCACACCAATTTTGATTCTAAAAGACATATAAAGTTGAAGATGATAAGTAAGAATTTACAATTCTCCTGTTGTGAAGTGATTGAAGTCAATAAAATTTACTATATCTACTAGAACATTTACATTAAAACAGCAACATCAGCAACCAACTGAAAGGCTATCAAAAATTAGCCATAAATAGCAGTGATCAATATAAATTCAATGCAACAAGCTGAGCTCTAGAGAAATATTTGTTTGGCAGTGCAAGGGAAGTAATAATTACTAATTGTGGTGGCAGTGGAAGGATTGAAGTTACAAAGTATTATGTGCATGTTTCTGAGAGTTGGGAGGGGCTTAGGCATGAGAGAGGTTAAATGTAAAAGTTGGTCTCATTTAGGGTAAAATTGTAATTTGAACGAAAATTACAACAGTTGAAAAATTTTATTCTAGGCATTTGCCAGTATTTCACTAATACGCCATTCTATAAGACTAATTATGATTAGCATTATGTCATTCCATGTTTTTTTCCTTCCCTTCCTCTTACTTCACTAAACTCTTTCCACAGTAATCAATAAATGTCTACAGAGGGAGCTCTGCAACAGTAGAGTTCATAAACAATGTGAAGCATACCTGTTCAATTTTATTGAATTTCTCTCTTTTATCATCCTCGAGGGCAATACCAGTTAAAACAGCATCCTTGATTTGTGCTGCATGTAAGACAAAACAATTAAGAATTAACAAACTAAACATTAAATGTCTACAGAGGGAGCTCTGCAACAGTAGAGTTCATAAACAATGTGAAGCATACCTGTTCAATTTTATTGAATTGCTCTCTTTTATCATCATCGAGGGCAATACCAGTTAAAACAGCATCCTTGATTTGTGCTGCATGTAAGACAAAACAATTAAGAATTAACAAACTAAACATTGGGCCCCAATTTTAAATAATTCTGCGATGTAAAAGGCCATAATGTAGCATGCAGCTGCTGGATTTTTCATAACGGGAACTATTTCATAAGAATGTGTCAAAATCCTATGTTGTAACAAAGACAAGTTTGCGATACATACATTCAACTATCCGCTTTTTAGCATCACTTAGTGTGTCCCAATCTGGAGACTCCTTAATAGCTTTGAACGCATTGTAGATGGCCTTACTCTGACCTAACTTAAGATGAAACGCCACTGTTTCCGGCTGCGAACCAAAAACAACATTCAAAGAGCACATAAAACCATAGGAACAGTATAGTCACAATGAATATACATGCATATGCACCTGAACTTCTTCAATGGCAGAGCGAAGCTCTGGATCATCTTTGACAGACTTGAGATGGGAAATAACACCCAATACCACCACCAGTCTATCTACTATCCTTTCCAGTGGCTCCACAAGCTTCTGCCACGTGGGCTCTACTGTCCTCTCCAGTTCCTCCAATTCACGTTCCTACAATTTCCCAATACAAATCATATGCACATGTCAATAAATTCCTTATCAATTATTTCACATATAACAACGCGTACGAGTTGTTTTATCAAGCTACGGATCCCAGGGCGAACGTGGGCAGCCTTGATGGAATCAAAAGGCGGGAAATAGAAGTCCTTCAACAGCGGATTATTTTCAGTTCTGATGACCGTCGATGAAGAGTAGGATCGAAGGGCGGCGGTTGATCTTCGAGGAGAGCGGAAATGGAGAAGGCAGAGGGAGAAAGAAGAAGACCAGAGAGGACAGGGATAGGATTTAAAGAGTTGTTTGGGGTAAGAAAGGGAATGGGAATCTATTAGGGGGCAGATGGGTTGAAGAAGAATTGATCGAGATACAGAGATTAACAAGTGAAGTATAAGAAGAAGTGCAGTAGCAGTAAAGATCCTAGCTTTGCTCATTTTCCCTTGTTGCCAAAAATTTTCTGTTGAGTGCAACTCACTGCGTGAAATGATGGTTGAACAACGGTTTTGATTTCAAGGTTAGGTTTGAATTCAACTCATGAAAATTTCTCCCTAGTTGGAACCCATCAAGTCCGACACATTTCGAACCTTCAATTTTTAACCAAATGTCTCCATTAATCTATTATTTCAAAATACATTCATTCTCTCAAAATGGGACTCAAACAAAAGTAATTACAATCCCGCTACAGGTACAGGAAACCATTTACAGAACCGGTACAGGTTTTTAAAAATGCTAACGTGGCAGGAGTTGTTAAATAAAAAAAGAAAGGGAATAACGAGACGAGACTCAAGAGGGGCGAAGTGAAAGTGTGAAACGTTCTCCCCCACTCCAACACCCACACCCACTCAAGAGGAGCCCTAACTCGCCGACATCTGAACCCAACACCAACCGAAGCTCAACCAGCCGTCGCACTAGCCCGGGGACTGTGAAATCGATCAGCGCCCAAACCTGATGTTCAGAGCAGTGGCAAAGCAGCGATGAAGGCAAACCCGGAGATGGTGAAATCGCGCGCTACAAATCTTAATCGAACTTGAAATCAACGATCACACTACCTTCTTCTCAGTTCGGTGACGAAGCAGCTATATAAGTGTCTCCTTCTCCGACGGAATCTGCTGCAGAAGTTCGGTAAGTGGGTTCTGTTTATACTTGGTTTATGCGGCTATATTCATGTGTTTGTATTGATGCTGTTGGTTGAGGGGTATATGAAAGGATTTCACCATTGTTGCCCTTTCTATTTCGCTACCTTATGAGAAAATTTGTTTTCTTCTTTGCCCCACAACACAAGGTCGAACCCTGCTATGATACACAGCTTTATTATTTTTCTAAATTTCAAGTTACCAGACTTTGAGATAGTTCGCCATACTGTTAGTTTATTCTTGTAAGATACATGTGTGTTGGGATTGCAATCACAATTATAAGCTTTTACATTACAAGAAATGTGTTTGTGGAAGTTAAAATCTTGAAGCTTTTACTACTTCCCTTTTGTAATACTGAAAGTTAAAACTAAACTTCGTTCATTTTTCGATTAATCAGAATGTTGTCGTTTTTGTTTCATCCTCGAACCCCCCACAATTATGATTCACATTGTGTCATTTACAGTCATCCAGTAGAATGAGAGGAAGAAACTTTGGAGTTTGTCACGGATGTAGAAGCAACACTCACTATTTCGGACAATGCCAATCAAAACAACAATGCCCTAGTTGTGACCACAGATATCGAAAATGTTTTGAGGTCGAACGGGATACCAGTAACAAAGGGCGTTTGTTCTTCACATGTAGCGATGACTGCGGATACTTTGATTGGGTGAAAGATGAAGTCTTCGGCGAGGAATCGAGTTCGGTTAATTGTCCGGTGAATCATGCACCCAACAAGGAAGACGAGGAGTTGCCAACGTTGTTTGACGGACTAGCTAGAATTAGCGAGAAACGAGGCGTCGACATATCACTCAAGCTGACTTTCAGCAAGGGAAAAGATATTGCCAAATGTGATAAGCAAGGAAAGGGTCAAGTTGAAGGGTTTATTTATGTATGTGGTTGATGAATTGATATCCTTGTTCTCGGGTTTAAATGCGGTAGTTCCACTTTGACATTGTTTCCCAGTGTATGTAATTAGGAGTCCTCGCCAAAACTCATTGTTGAATCGTTGATGAAGTTTTTATCAATGTTTTGTTCTGGGATATAAATTTTGAAGGGAATTTGTAATCACCCCCCTTGCATGCTCCCTAAGATCCATAAGTTGGTAAAGAATTGGGTATAAAACTGTGGTGTATACTTGGTGATTAAGAACATTTTTTAATAGTTGTTTTTGTAGAGACGATTCTTAAGTAAATCATTTTAAGAGTCTAGTAGATGGAAGTAGAGTCATTTACCTTCATGTACACTTAAACTAACTATTAGCTCTCGAGTCAAGTTCAAAACTAGAGTATGTGATGTGATCATTCACTTTTACACAAATTAACTCTCAGCTTATCCTCTCCACTTTGTTTCTCCTTTCTAAAATACAAAGCACACACATTTTATACCAAACAATAAGCAATTAACAAACCAAAACAGATTGTCACTAGGTAGACCTGTTGCTTTAAGAATGTCACGGGTCAAGACGTTTTCTTACATTAGTTCAGCTCGTGACACATGATGTTTATTTTTTATAATTCTTTTGTCTACCTCTACTCATAACATTAGCTTTATCAACAACACAACGTTGGCATCGAGTCTAAAAACATTTGTAAGCAAAGGACAATATTTGATGGAATAGATAATTCTCTTGGTTTAGATATTTATAAATGAAATTAGATTTTGGATGAATTCTAAAACAATTTATAAATCATTGTTGAATTATCAAAAACAGTTTAGGAGTCCCCACCAAAAATACAAACATCCACTAACATCTGTTGAATAATTTCTATATTATATGGGAATTTATACAATAACAAAACAAATGAAAGGCAATGCAGTTCCCACGAAAGCACGCCTACCCTTCAAAAAATGCATTCATACTCTCACTTCGTGGGATGAATATATGAATTTTGATAATTAAATTATGACACTAAGTCGACTTCATCGTACCATAATTTCGAGATTCGACATGTATAACATTGTTTTTAATAACATGATTTCATATTTTATTAGTTATGTTATTTTTATTAATTGTACTATATTTTTAGAATATATTAAATAAATTCATATTTTCGTAAACGAAACGTAATTATGTATGTAGTAATTTATTTAGTATTAAATAGAATAAATAAATATTTTTTTAGCTATATAAATTGTTAAAAATAAAATAAACGAAGAAAATGACTAAACAATGTTCATTTGGTATAACTTTTGGTGCAATGGATTGGAGATAATTTTTAGTTCAGTGCAAAATTTGATGCAAATTTTAGTGCAGGGTTGGAGATGATCTATGCAGAGGAAAAAATATAATATTTTGTATCTTGGAAGTTCACGTATTAAAGAGTGGATAAAACAAATAACTTAGATCTAAGCAACGATTTGTTTGTCACAGCTACCTTGAAAATTATATTTCCTCAAACCTTTTTTCACTCGATAAAATAATTTTATGCATGAACTTCATAATTTTTCATACTTTTTAACCACATATTTCTAGAGAGTTATTTTTCAATTTAAATAATGTCTCCCAACCAAATAGTAAGTAAAGATTTGGCTGATTCTGATTTAGATCATTCTAGCATGAAGTATAGTAGTCCTTTATCTTTCATTTAAGGTAACTTGGTAATACATGACGATACCATATATTTTGTTATTTAAAAGAAGAATAATGATAAATGTACATTTTGTATGACAACTTGGTTGACCTTCCCCTATGTGGAGGAAATTTACGCACAAGTGTGATGAATGTATTTAAAATCAAAAGCGTAGATATTCTCATGTGAAAAGTGTTAAGATGCCAGAGACGGCGTAAATATAACATGACTATTAAAATAATTGATCTAGTTGTCAATTAGGATCTAATTATCTCAAAGCTATTGTCATCTTGATTATTTTATTCATTTATTTTTTGACATTTTGACACATCACGTTTTCATAGCGAATGCAAAGATAGAACATAAATTTCGATAATTCAACACATTACACATTGACATTTTTCTTATTTGCGATGAAGAAGTTAAATGTCAAATAAAATGTAATAGAATAATTAGGATAACACGCAATACACATTGAAAGTCACACCGTTGGACGTAATATCTAACTTTTAATAAACAGGTGAAGGAGGGTCTACTATTCATGCAATAGTAAATTAATCAAATTTTACTATGTATGATGTCATTTTTTATTTTTCATTTTATTTATGTCAAATAAATGTTTTTCCACACATCATCTCACTAGCATTAAAAAAATAATTATGTCAAACAAATGTTTTTCAACACATCATATCACTAGCATTAAAAAAAAAAAAAAATTTAGTAAATATAAACTGTCATGAGCATAAAAAAAAATCTTCATACATGAGCTTTAAAAAAATAAAAATAAATAAACTTTCGGCACAATGCGGAGAAATGACAAACCATGTGCGGAGTAAAAAAAATGAAGAAAAAAACTCTCCGCACGGAGAGATGAGAAACCATGTGCGGAGAGTTGACAAACTCTCCGTACAGTGCAAAGTAAAAAAAAATCTCTCCGCACAGTGCGGAGAGATGGCATTCTGTGCGGACACTGTCCTCATAAAGTGCGGACTCTTCATATAGTGCAGAGTAAAAAAAGAAAAAAAAAACTTCGCACAGTGCGAAGAGTTAGCAAACTCTCCGTACAGTGCGAAGTTTTAAAAAAAATCTCCGCACAGTGATTGTCACGTGCATTGCACGAATTTTGTATTTATCGTATTTTTATTAATGTATGAATTTTAGTTTTTTGGAAAGTTTTTGAAACAATATCTAGAAATATTTTCATGACATAAGAAAACATGCAAATTATTTTTACAATTACATAACAGTATTATGTCATCTAGAAAAAATATACTTATATATTTCATACTTGAATAAGAAATATAAGAAATTATACAAATTATTTTGCTTGTATTGTTTGATAGTATTGATATGATTAAGTTGAATGTGAATATTATATTTTTAAATTTTGTGTAGTTCACTATTGAAAAATTGAAGATTGAGCATCATATTCATATGCATTTATATTTTGTGTTTCATATATATTTAATATTTATTTTATACTTATGTTGAAAAAATAAAAATCTGATTTTTTTTAAATTCGGTTTGGTAAGTGAATGTACGGTGTTCTACATTCTCGATATTTGTGAGTGCAAAAATCGGTATTTAAAAATATAGTAAGCTGCAAATACGGTAAGTAGTATATGCGGTAAGTTACAAATACGGTAGACAGCATAAACGGTAAGCTGCAAATACGGTAAAGTGAAAATACGATAAGTTATTTACAAATACGGTAGGCAGCATATACGGTAAGGTGCAAATACAGTAGCTGCAAATACGGTAGACATCATATGCGGTAAGCTGTATATACGGTAAGCTGCTTGCAAAAACAGTAAGTTCCCTGCAAATACGATAAACTGCATATATGGATTTATAATTTGTTATAAATGTATAAAATTTATTTAATATTGAATTTCTTAAGTATTAAATGTTGTAATTCAATATTGTTTCATTTTTTATAATTGTATTTTCGAGAACTAAAAAAAAAAGTGGTTATGAAATTGCTAATTTTTAAATGTGTTTTTTGTTGAAGATAGAAATGATTTTTTTATGTTATTTGTAAAAAAAAAAAAAATTATTGTAATTTTATTAGCGTAATAAGAAGATTTATTATGCATTTTTATTTTTTACATTTTGTGAAGAATTTTGTTTATGATGATTGACAAATATTTTTCCACACACACATCATACTAACAACATAAAAAAAATTAGTATATATAAACTCCATGAGACCAAAAAAAAAAAATCTCCGCACACGCGCAAAAACAAAACTCCGTAAAGTGCGGAGAGATGACAAACTATCTCTCCGCACAGTGTGAAGATAAAAACAAAAACTCTCAGGACTTTATCTGCAAATTCTAAGTGGTCTTTTCTCAAACAACTTTTGAGCAATGCATCGAACACTTTAATTCCTGGCCTACAACCCAAAAGTATAATTTCATTGAAAATTATATCCGCTTCTAATGTCCAAGAGTTGTTATCAAACAAGTATAAAATATTGAATTTGGGTGGTACCCTAGAGCCTCTATTTGTGAAAGCAATGTCATGGTACTATCAATATCCCCTTCTTTGTACAACTCACATGTTGTTTCATTGTATGAATTACGAGAAAGCTCATTTCCATTACCGTAAATATGATTTGCACGCTTGGAAATTGAGTTATGATTGAAATTTAAAGAAGACATAATTGATTTTGAGCCATGTTTTTTCGACTCTGTTTCGTTGTATATACGAAAAATTTACAATCTTTGAAATTTGACTTGTAATTAAGGAATTTGAAAACAACTCTCTGCACTGTGCGGAGAGTTTTTTCTCTATGTACTGTGCGGAGAGCTGGTTTGTCATCTCTTCGCACTGTGCGAAAAGTTTTTTTTTTACTACGCACTATGCGAAGAGTTTGTCAACTCTCCACACATAGTTCAACTCTCTCCGCACTGTGCGGAGAAGTTTTTTTCTCTCCGACCTCTCCGCACTTTTTTTTTACCCCGCACGTGATTCAACTCTTTACGCACTGTGCAGAGAGTTTTGCTATGGTGCGGACCAACTCTCCACACTATGTGAAGAAATTAACTCTCTCCGCACGGTGCGGAAATTTTTTTTTTGCTCTCGGTACTGTGTAGAGAGTTAGTTTGTCATCTCTCCGTACTATGTGGAGAGATTTTCTTTTACTCTGTACTGTGCGAAGAGTTTGCCAACTCTCCGCATATGTTTCAACCCTCTCCGCACCTTTTTTATTTTTACTCTGCACTTGGTTCAACTCTCTCGGCACCGTGCGGAAAGTTTTTTTTCAATTTTACAATATTGAATTATACAAAATTTAGAAATATAATCTTCACATTCAATTCAATCATATCAACACTATCAAAGAATAGAAGCAAAATAGTTTGTATATTTCTTATTCAGGCATGAAATATACAAGCATATTTTTTTTTAGATAACATACTACTATGCAATTGTAAAAATAATTTACAATTATTTTCTTATATCATTGAAATATTTTTAGATATTACTTCAAAAACT